GCTGCAGAAGGGCAGTGAGCTGCGCGCTTACTGAGACAGAATGCTCACTCAGAGCATGACGAAAGAAATCTGCCCCTGTTCGTTTGCGGAAGGCGGCAACATGGAATAAACTGTGTACAGAAAGCGAGTAAAGAACTCTCAACATTAGGCTACTAAAAAGGTCAGTTTAATCTCGCAAAAACTCCCGTTAATAAAAAATCTGACTACACTGCACATTAATCTGTTGTTTATGATGAATTCGGTGCTTGCACGTACACCGCTTTTATTATTATTGCAGCTTAGATGTTCAAATAGTTGCACTACTCCGACTTTGCCACAAGGAAAAGTTCGTACGCCTGCTCAGACCCTGACGTGGCGGTAAGTACTTTTCCACGTCAAAGACCGTTTTTATAAATATGAACGTTGCCGTGGATTTTAGCGTGCGCACACTCTAAGATCAAATCTGTGCATACACACATTTTATAAATGAGGCTCCTGGTGTTTTATTTATGGTGAGTATAATTATTTATTTCAATGAATGTAATTGTTTAGATATCATAATATTTAGGCTATAATAGGCTATTATAAATCTGGTTGGTTTGTATTGGTGACGTAATATGTAAATGATATGCGTGCGGCCCGCGAGACTTGCACTTGGACCATAGTGCGGCCCAGTGGAAAAAAAGGTTGAGAACCACTGATCTACAGTATCATGCCTGAATGACTACCCCAGTAGTGAAGTACTTTGAGCGGTTGGTCATGAATCAAATCAGTGAGAAAATTGATGCCAGCATTGACCCTAATCAGTACACGTACAGAAAGAACCGGTCCACTGCAGATGCCACCTCAGCGGTTGTACACCTGACCCTCACCCACCTTGAAATCAAGGATACCTATGTAAGACTGATTTTAGCTCTGCTTTTAACACAATCATTCCACAGACAATGGGCTTCATTCATGAAACACAAACAGAACAAATGTTTGTGTGAATCGTTCGTAAAACTGTTCTGATGTAAACTTTTGAATTCATGAAAATGTTTGTATTTTCAAAATGTTAGTTGGTACGAATGTACACCTAATGTACACCTGCTACCTACCATGCGTACGTTAAATGTTCTGTGTTTTTTTTTGCAAACTGATGACACTGTAATTACTATGGCAATGCATCAAAATTCAGTTTAATTTGCTCTCTTTTTTGTAGCCGAGTTGATAACTGTAAAATGCAGCACTCGTCACTCACTATTTACCCAGCCGTAAATAGAGGATGGGTGGGACTAATACCGACCAACCATCCTACTTGTACAATGACTGCCTACAACGATGGAGAAGTCAATATTACTGGTTACTGCTTTTTTATATTTAGTACAGTTCTTAAAAATGAGATACTAGTAATACGTTGCCGTGGATATTCCAAATCATAGCAACTAAAGCGTCTCAACTGGAAAAATGCTGTGCCACCAAAGTGTTCTCAAGCGCCACCAGCTGGCCGTTTTCAGAAGAGCACCTGAAATACTCTATATAATAACAGTTTTTGTACTTCGCTTGCTATGTGAGTGCCTGGATGTGGATTTTTTGTTTTGCAATGGAATCCACTTTTTGTTTTTGAAATGTTCAGAAAAGTTGGAAGTGGGTTTATACTATACAAAACCAAAACAATGCAGGTCTAATATTCACAAATTTCTCAATTGTTACTAAGCTTTACTTCAAAGATAACACACTTATTCCTGAACGAGATACTACTGAGAAATGTTATCGCTGCATTTAACTGTTAATTTTATGTAAATTATAAGTGTGTGTTATTGTGCATATATTTTAATATAATGTTATGGTAGGCTCGGCTGCAGCCAAACAGTTGGAATTTTTTGTAGCCTATCAAAAGCTGAGATTCTTTAATTAGGCCAATAAAAAATAGGTTCTTCATCATTTTAGCACAGATGTCTTTGCTAGGAACATTGTTTTGTTGTTCATAAAACCTCAGATGAACAACAAGACATGACATATCACACGATGGCATTATTTATTTAAAGCTGCAGTCCATAAGTTTTGACTCTTTGTCGCCATCTCTGTTTGAAAACCTGGAATTGCAGCTGTGTGCGGAATTATCTTCATTGCGTGGGTTGTGCTTCGGCGTGGCTCCAGCGCGGATTAATCTAATGTTCTGAAGAGTATGTGTGGATATTTACTGTACTTCGCAATCACAGATTCTAGCTTATTATTGTTATACTTAATTCTCAAATTATTAGCATTGGTGACTATGAGTATAATGTGTGTGTAGATATCAGTTTCTGTACAGTCTAATCTCTAATTGTCGTACCATTCAAATTTCATATTAAGAAATTCTTTAACTTAAAAAGCAAACTATTCTCCCTTCGAACTGGTTTTCTTTAAAATACAAATCTTGTGTAATGTGAATCGGACTAAAGTAAGCCGATAGTTTTGAACACCGGCTGATTATGTACTTGCTCAAATATTGATTTCGGATCATTTTTAACCAAAAAAAGTTACGGACTGCAGCTTTAACAAAAAATAGGCCAAAATGGAAAAGCCATGGGTAACAAATTAAGGACACCCTTATTGTTAATATATGAATTAAGAGGGTAAGTAACGGTCAGGCACTGCTAATCGAATGTTTTTGATTAACTGATCATCAGCACCTCTATAAAAGCAGACGTTTTGGTGGTTTGCTCGTCTGGAGGATTAAAGTGTTTGTTTTGGCAACACAATGCCAAGGAGGAAATACATCAGCAATGATCTTAGAGAAGAAATTGTTGCTGCCATCAATCTGGGAAGAGTAACAAGTCCATCATTCTACAGTGATGAAGACTATTCACAAGTAGAAGACATTCAAAACAGACACCAGTCTTCCCAGGAGTAGACGTCCCAGCAAATTCACCCCATGGTTAGACTTCGGATGAGACATTAAACTGAGGTTCTGACTTTCTTTGGTCATTAAAAATCTCAGGGTGTCCTTCGAAAAAGAGTCGAGGTGTGACCTCAGCATCCTGGCCAAACTTGCCCATTGGCCTCTGACCATCATGGCCTCCTAACCATCCCCATATTCTGGTTGGCTTCTTTACTCTGTCTCCTCTCCACCAATAAGCTGGTGTGTGGTGGGCGTTCTGGTGCACTATGGCTGCCGACGCATCATCCAGATGGATTCTGCACACTGCTGGTGGATGAGGAGACCCCCCTCACAATGTAAAGCACTTTGAGTACCCAGAAAAGCACTATATAAATTTAACAAATTATTATTAATTATTGTACAAAACTCTGAGACTCTACAGGCCTCAGTTAAGATGTTAAATGATAACGTTTGTGACAATACAATTGATGTCGCGAGGCTACCAGGCTAACACTTACCATGAGGCTAAATGTTTTTATATATGCTGTTTAAACAAGCATTCTCACAAATACCCCTGTTGTGTTTCACAGAGTTTTGACTTGTTTTACAGACTCTGTATTAACATCATGGTTCTGTTACATCTCCCTATCATGATTACACATAGTAAAAACTGTGTTTGATTTTCTACATTTTATGACGTCTGAAAGGCACAGAATATCAGGAATGAGCCACATTATGTAAGCTGCAGGAGTGAAACACACAGATTGCAGGAACAGGCAATGGTCAGAAATTCAGTGCGAGCGGGATCCAGAAAACAGTCCTGTGCAGGACTACAACCCACAGACTGACCCAGGAGAACTGATTTAACTACAGACAGACCTCAAACCTGCCATTCATCTATAACAGGGGTCACCAAGTTCGGTCCTGGAGGGCCGGTGTCCTGCAGAGTTTAGCTCCAACTCTAATCAAACACACCTGAAGCAGCTAATCAAGCTCTTACTAGGCATACTTGAAACGTCCAGGCAGGTGTGTTGAGGCAAGTTGGAGGACTAAACTCTGCAGGACACCGGCCCTCCAGGACCCAGTTTGGACAGCCCTGATCTATAACATACTAGAAAAACACTGTCCTCTCATCTATGCTGTTGTAGCAGGAGTATGTTGTTACACCAAATTATGCATTTTAGTTATTTATTTTATTTTTAATTATTATTTGTTAGGGGGTATTTTATTTTGAAAGAAGGTTGTGCACGATTCATATAGCAGTCAGCAGCAGTGCATGAACCGAGTAGAGAAAAGGGATGAAAATTATGTCCACTCCAAAAACGACACTACGTGCCAATAAGTGACCTCAACCCAAATATGGCACACATGGCAATGCAGAGCAAGCATGCTGATAACAGTGCTTGAGTGTTTATGTGTTTTATTACTCGGGCACTGGAATTGAATTGAAAACCCATGATACCAACCCAGTTTTGAGTGGACCATTCTTTTATTAACATCACCAAAAATCAACACAACGCAGTTTTGAATATTTTGTCAGCTTCCATGTAAATCACAGGAAAATGTGACCAACAAAAACAGCATTTATTACATTTCTTTCTCAAAAGGAGAAAATTTTTTTCAGTCTTATTTCCTTTTAAAAGTTAGGATTTTGAGGACTAAAGGTGTTTTAATCAGTATGTCTTATAAAAAAAGTAATGTTTACAAGACCCTGAATTAATAAAGTGATTTTTGAGGATGAAAAAAAAAATAAATTATAGACATCGAATCTCACTCACATTCACGGTTTGCTTTTTGCAAGTGTACTTGTAGATACTGTTGCAAAACTAAGTGATAGAAATGAATGATTTTCATTGTTTTCAATTCAGAAGTAGATACTGTTACACAAAATACTTTTGGCTATTTATTGTTTATCATTATTTAATGTGTGACAAACAACAGAGATAAACACCCTAACAGCACACATATGTTGGGCCGATGTCGACCCGACATACAAAGTTCCATCGGCGTGATGTCGCTCAGGGAGTGTTTGCTAATTGGGAATATGTTGCCGCGACATCGGCCTCTGATCGCAAATGCTCTCCGGCCGATGTTTGGAAGATGCAGCTGTAAATCCCGGCTGTTCTGCGTGGGCGCGGTTGCTCATCGTTACGGACCACCCGCGGCAGCCGCCGCTGGTTTATACAATACACCCTACTCTCAATAACAGTTGCAAATGTATTAATATTTTAATTTAACATATTACATATGCAAATACATTTACATTTATCAGATGCTTTGATCAAAAGTGGATAATTCACAATTATTTGTAGTCTTTTGAAAATTAGCCATGGTTTTACCACAGCATTTGCATCAAACCCATAGTAAAAACTAAATCAACCGTAGTTTTACTACAATCACCATGGTTTAACTATGACTGTTGCAGTAAAAGCATAGTAACTACAAAATTTACCATGTTTTCAAAAACTATGGTTACTATAGTCATGGTTACCACAGTATCACTGAAGTATTGCTACAATATAACTATAGTAGAATATGGCATCAAAACCATGGTTTGAAAAAAACAAAACATGGTTACTACAGTTGTACTACAGTAAAACCATGGTTAAATGTTGTATAAGTATAGAACTTTTCACAATACTTATCATTTCAAAGTAGGTTTACAGAAAATGCATGTTTCAAGGTTACAATTTAAAAACATCCTTTCATCAGCCAGAGGTGACTGAGACTCACCAGGGAAGACCATCTTCTGAAAAAATACCATTCTCAAAATAATGTCCATATGACAGTAGTTCATAGTACAAGTCATGTGTTCAGTGCTGTCAGCATCGAAGGCTATCTTCATGGCAAAAACTGAGTTACAATAATACAAGATTTACATAAACACAAAATAGAAACCAGGCAAACAACAATTAAGCAGTTAAATTGTTTTAAATAGCATGATAATAAATTCTAAAATCTTTTCTGATAAAATCTTACTAAACAAGTCTCTAGTCATGTGCTCAGTTAAACATTATCCTTCAACATTATTAAAGGGTAAGTTGAACAATTTTCAATCCATTTTGTATTGTTACAATGTTGGTAACATATGTAAAAGAACAATGTTTATTCTTTCTCCAAGATACCCAGTTTATTTGTCAGCAAAACTTATGCAAAACACAGCATTTTTTCATTTTGAAGCTGCAAAAAGTGTCTTTTTGTCACTTTGTCAAAACTCGTTATTTCATTTTGCATCGTCCTGCAGAGTGCTGTTCACAAATAAAAGGGGACATAAGCCCTATTCGGACGGGACTAGTTTTCCAGGGGGACGTTAGAGAAATTTGTGTTTCACAGACGTACTTGGTGATTTTAATCCCGTCCGAATCTGCCACGTCTGTGTTTTTCTGACTCAACCTCTGTAATAACTCCACAGAGTAAATGACCTACTGTTTTTCAGCAAACTCAGTGATCCTCTGAGAAAACTAATCCCGTCCGAATGCGATGTCTATGATTGCCGGCGATATTTTTTTTCACAATGCGTTTCCTTGTGTGTTTTGGCCAACATGAATTACCGAAGACGCTCTTAACACCCGCACATTTGATATATTTGCCTCCAGGCAAAGAAATAAAAAAATAACAATAATAAAGTCAAGAGCCAGATCACGTAAACTGTTAAGACTGGCTACTGTAATATCAGCGTCAGGTAAGATTACTCACGTTCATTTCTGCACTCAATTACATAATGTTTTAATTACATATGTACCTTTATGAAAATTAAACATGGGTTTACTACAAATAAATAAAAAAATTAAATAGTTAAACTGAAGTAACCACACATTAACATGGTTTTGCTATACTAGCAATTTAGTTTCACCATGGTATTTGTGTGATTATACTAATGGTAATCAATCCAAATGACTATACACAATGCACACATTCAGAGCGCGTGATCTCTGCAATGCCCAAGTACAAAACAGACCCTCCCACCTCTGTAATAAACACGGAGATGTTAGTCCCGTCCGAATTGGTACATGAAAATCGCGCCACCCCTTTAATGGCTCTTATATCATTTCAGGCATACGCTAAGAGCACGCTTAAGCAGAAGTGTCAGTGCGGGACTATTTCATGGACATTTTGCAATCTTCTTTCGTGTGGTCAAACTTACTTAATATTCCCAAAAATTAAGTGTCCCCAAATAAGCAAGCCAAAGGCAACAGAAATTGAGAAAAAAAACCTTGGGAGAAACCAGGCTCAGTCGAAACCAGCATGGTGTGGTTCATCGTGGTCTTTGCTGAGGTTTTGTGCCGATGGCCGTATAGTTGGTGGGGTCTTCACTGGGGATCTGTCTCTGGGGCTCATAGAGGTCGTCTGTAGGTGCTGATCCACCATCTGATCTGGATACAGACTGGATCTGGTGGCTACTGAGTTGTGTTGGTGGAGGTTTCACTGTTGGGCATGTGGGCCTGTTGCACCATCCAATGTTGTCTGGCTGCTTCTGGGGTGTTGACCGGTTTTAAGGGATGCTCCTCCCTTGGAGGGGTCTGATGCTGTGTTGCGTCAGGCGGTCGTCTGTAGGTGCTGATCCACCATCTGATCTGGATACAGACTGGATCTGGTGGCTACGGTGACCTCGGAATAAGAGAGAAACAGACTAATATTACCATAGAAGCCACTCTTCTCATGATGTAACAAGTACATTGGGTGTTATTGACATTGTTATTGTTAGTGAACACCTTCAGAATAAGTCGTGGCCTTTTTGGGACTAATTGAACAGACATTACAATTACAACACCTTTTTAATTGCAAAAACACTATTTGAAGAGAACTGAACTGAGCTGGATGATGATGACATCACTGAATCAGCGATGAAATGACTTTAACTGAAATATTTACTTTTGTCCTCTTTTTAGAGCTGCTTTATAGCAGAACTGAATTTTGTTTGCATTATCGACATTATTTTCCTGTTTAACAATGGAAAGCAGCTTTGACACAATCTGTATTGTGCTATATATAAATAAGGGTGAGTTGACTTGATTTGACAATTCTTCATAGAAAAGTTTTTGTGCAGTCTGTTTTGAACAGTTTTGTATTTTTGAGAATTTTGTTAGTGGCCTTCAATTTTCAATTGGAAAGAAATCAATAAAATAAAATGGTTACACTTTACTTGAAGGGGTGTGCATAAGACTGACATGACACCTTCATAATCATGTTATGTAATTTTTAATGCAAAGATAACATTGTTTGAGATGTCTTTGTTATGGGCTATGGTTATTACATCAAATCAGTTGTAGCGAATCAGCTCAAAGGGGAAATATAAATAATTAATCATAACTAGTTATAATTAATTATAAATATTTAGATCCGCAGCATCACTCAAATCTACCTTGATATATCTGTACTGAGATTTCTTCTTCAGAAACAATTTAAGCAATACTGCAATTTTGTGATTTCTTCACTAAAGCAGATTAATACATTATGGTACAGTTTCTGTGACTATTTGTTAATCTAATGAATAACTGATTTGTTAAATCTAATGAAAAATGGTGTGTCTGATTGGTCCAGACGCTACACAGTCCCAAGTGAATTGTAATTACACATACATTAAGTTGTGGTAACTTAATTTTTTCAAGGCAATGGGTTTCCTAAATTATTTTAAAGTTAAGTCAACTGATCGCTTTTTGCAGTGCATGGTGGAGGCAGATGGTGTGAGGCAGCGGCTCCCAATTGAGAGATGCCAGCTCCTTCGAAAACAGCCTCCTAATG